ACATTTATGACAACAAATAATGATTATATATGGTTCCAAACAAAATTATATGACCCCGAAATGTATTCCCTAAAATTTCAAGAATTTTCGACACCGGACCCTGAAATCTCCAAAATTTCTCAAAAAGCGTGGATATTGGAATTCAATTTTGAAATTTTTAAACTTATTTTCGCTCGAAAATAAAAATTGCCGAAATGTTTACCATGGTCACTAATACGCTTCGGGAGTCCAATTGGGAAGGTGAAACCATCCAATTTGCCATTAAACGGTCAATTTACCGATTACAACTTGCAGTGATTTCATTAAATCAAGCCTACCACGAACATTTATGACAACATATAATGATCATTTATGGTTCCAAACGGCATTATATGACCCCGAGATGTATTCCCTACCATCTCAAGGTTTTTCGACATCGTGCCCAACCTCAAAAATTTCTTAAAAAGCGTGGATACAAGCTTTCAATTTTGGAATTTTTTTTGACTTTTTTCGCCTGGAAATAAAAATTACTGAAATTTTTACCATGGTCCCTAATACCTTCCAGGAGTCCAATTGGGTGGGTTTATCCATCCTGTTTGCCTTTAAACGACCAATTTACCGGTTTACAACTTACACCAATTTCATTAAATCAAGCCTACCACGAACATTTATGACAACAAATAATGATTATATATGGTTCCAAACGGCATAATATGAACCCAAGATGTATCCCATAGAATTTCAAGAATTTTCGACTCCGGACCCCGAAACCTTCAAAATTTCTCAAAAAGCGTGGATATTAGTCTTCAACTTTGGAATTTTTTGACTTTTTTGGCCCAAAACTAAAAATTGCCGAAATGTTTACCATGGTCCCTATTATCCTTCAGGAGTCCAATTGGGTGGGTGGAACCATCCAATTTGCCTTTAAACGACCAATTTACAGATTTACAACTTGCAACGATTTCAGTAACTCAAGTCTACCACTAACATCTATGACAACATATAATGATCATATATGGTTCCAAATGACATTATATGAACCCCAGATGTATTCCCTAAATTCTCAAGACTTTGCGACATCGGGCCCCGAAACCTCCAAAATTTCTAAAAAAGCGTGGACATTAGCCTTCAGTTTTGGAAATTTTTGATTTTTTTTTGCAAGAAAATTAAAATTGCCGAAATGTTTACCATGGTCCTTAATATCCTTCGGTAGTCCAATTGGGTGGGAGGAACCATCCAATTTGCCTTTAAACGGTGAATTTACCAGTTTACAACTTGCACTGATTTCATTAACTTAAGCCTACCACGAACATTTATGACAAGAAATAGTGATCATATATGGTTCCAAACGACCTTATATGACCCCGAGATGTATTCCCTAGAATCTCAAAGCTTTTCGATGCCGGGCCCCGAAACCTCCAAAATTTCTCAAAAAGCGTGGATATTAGGTTTCAATTTTGAAAAATTTGACCTTTTTTTCCACCCGGAAATAAAAATTGCCGAAATGTTTACCATGGTCCCTAATACCTTCCGGGAGTCCCATTGGGTGGGTGGAACCACCAATTTGCCTATAAGCGACCAATTAACGGTTTACAACTTATACCGATTTCATTAACTCAAGCATACCACGAACATTTATGGCAACAAATAATGATCATATATGGTTCCAAACAGCATTATATCACCCCGAAATGTATCCCCTAAAATTTCAAGACTTTTCGACACTGAACCCCGAAACCTCCAAACTTTCCCAAAAAACGTGGATAATTAATCTTCAATTTTGAAATTTTTTGACTTTTTTTCGCCCGGAAATAAAAATTGCCGAACTGTTTACCATGGTCCCTAATACCTTCCGGGAGTCCAATTGGGTTGGTTGAATCATCCAATTTACGTTTAAACGGCCAATTTAATTACCGGTTTACAACTTGCACGAGTTTCATTAACTCAAGCCTACTACAAACATTTATGACAACATATAATGATCATATATGGTTCCAAACGGATTTATATGACCCCGAGATGTATCCCCTAAAATATTAATACTTTTCTACACCGGGACCCGAAACCTCCAAAATTTCTCAAAAAGCGTGGATAATCCTTTAATTTTGAAATTTTTTCTTTTTGTTTTCGCCCACAAATAAAAATTACCGAAATGTTTACCATGATCCTCAATACCCTCCGGGAGTCCAATTGGGTGGGTGGAACCATCCCATTTGCCTTTAAACGACCAATTTACCGGTTTACAACTTGCAACCGATTTCATTAATTCAAGCTTACCACGAACATTTATGACAACAAATAATGATAATATATGGTTCCAAACGGCATTATATGACCCCGATATTTATCCCATATAATTTCAAGATTTTTCGACACCGGGCCTCGAAACCTTCAAAATTTATTAAAAAGCGAGGATATTAAGCCTTCAATTTTAGAATTTTTTACTTTTTTTAGCCCAAAAATAAAAATTGCCGAAATGTTTACCATGATCCCTAATACCCTCCGGGATTCCAATTGGGTGTGTGGAACCATTCAATTTGCTTTTAAACGACCAATTTACCGGTTTACAGCTTGTACCAATTTACCGGTTTACAACGACCAATTTAATTAACTTGCACCGAACCCGACTTAAACCGAAATTGACCCAAACCCGTTTTAACCTGTCAAAACCCGAATTTAACCCGACTTGTTACCAACTTGACCTGAATTTAACCCGACCCGAATTTAACCCAACCTGTTACAAACCCGACCCAAAATCAACTCGACTTGTTATTGACCTGACCCAAATTCAACCCGACTTGTTATTGATCCGACCCGAATTTTACCATACCTATTACTTACCGAACTCAAAACCCGATCTGTTACTAACCCGACTCGAAATTAACACGACTTGTTGTTGACCTGACCTAATAAATTCAACCCAATTGTTCCTGACCCGATTTCAAATTACCTTAAATGCAATTTAGACCACCTTATTATTGTTGATCAAAGGATTTTTTTCTTGGGAGACCAATTCGGTCCAGGCCAGCTAAAGAAAGGAGCATTATCCTCAAATTTTAGAGTTAAATATAGTATTTGTTGTATGATTAAAGGAGATAATTATCTTCCTAAATTATAGAATATATTTCCCTAGTATATTGCCGTATATAGTATAGTAAAAGGAAATAATTAGTTTCATAAAAATGATAATTATCTATTTATAGTTAGTTGAACCCGAATATGACCTTACTTGGAAATGACCCGACCTGATTGTAACGTGCAAATTATTGACTTGAACATAACCCGACTTGAATCTGAGAATGACCCGACTTGGAAATGACCCAACCTGATTATAACCCGCAAATTATTGACTTGAACCGAACTCGACTTGAACCCAAGAATGACCTGACTTAAAAATGACCCGAGCTGATTATAATCCGCAAATTATGACTTGAACCGAACCCGACTCAAACCCGAGAATGACCCGACCTGATTCTAACCCGCAAATTATTGTTGAACCGAACCTGACTCGAACCCGAGTTTTACCCTAATCCGTTTTAACTCGGATTAAACCTGACCTATTGTTCACCCGATCCGAATGTAACCCGACCCAAACCCGATAAGAAGTACGACCCGACTCAAGCATGACCCAACCCAAACCCGACCCGCATTGGTTATGAAATTAATCTAAATTGACTCGACCCGAGTTGACCTGACCCACTTTTACCCTACCCAAACCTGACCTGTTTACCCGAATTGACAGCTCTAGGTGTACGTTTACCCGGATGTATATAATAAATTCTACTTTGGCTTGGCTTGATAAACACATTGTTTTTAAATAATCGGCGTGTCACAACTCTTTCTTAGCTTGGTTCATTCCAAACCCACCCTTCTTGAGAAGGAGACATTAAAATAAAAAATAAGTAGTTAGAATTCGGTGGACTTTTCAGCACCGGAAATCATCTATGTCATTTACCGCATCGAACCCCAAAGTTCAAAGTTCGTGTTGTTCATTACTCTATTTAAAGTTCGTACTGATAAGCGCAGCCAAGTAGGAGTAATAGTTTGTGTTGTTCTAGCTAATTAATTTTGCCCATAAAGAAAAAGATAAAACATTAATAATACACAATATATGGGTTCTAGAACTCTTCAATAGCAAGAGGATGGAACTAATTGTAAACATAAAATAGGTTTCAGCAAAGGAAAAGCTAATGCATAATGCAAAAAAGGATGCTCTTTGCCTCTTTCCCTTTATCAGATCTGTACCTTTGCGTAGAACCACAGCAGACAATTCTCGTCCAACTTTAAAGCACAATTCCATGAATGCCCTCTACTAAAAAGAAAAATCATCTTAGTTATACAATTTAATAGTATTTATAGCTACATTCAATTGGTAAATTGGTACTCCGTATTGTAAAAGAATTACCATTATTAATAGACTATTAAAAGAACTTTTTATATTGTATTGATATTAGTAAATGAAATATATATACTTCTTCCGTGTTTTAACAAGAGTTATATTTTGACCTTTTCACTATTCATATATTGGGTTTGACTTGATTAATCAACTAATATATAATAAATAAATGTTATTATGTACTTCGTAATACATTATTGGATTTTTTTGTAATGTATACTAAGCGATCATAATATCAATTTTCTTATGATTTTACTAACATATAATTAAATAAATTAATTGTTAAAATTGTGTCACGACATGAGTGTTTGGTCGAAGTGTAACGCTTGTTAAAATACAGGGGAAATAGTCAATGTTACATTGGTTATTTCGAAAAACTACCTCTTTCTAGCAAAGGAAATTCTTAGACCGACTTATATTCTAGAGTGGTGCGACTCGATGGAGTGCAATAACAAACTCATAACCCATTAATAGTTCAAGGGGGATACAATGTAAAATTGGATGTTTGTTGAAGAATAAACCTCTCAAGTGTCACCACATGTAAGTGTCCCACATTGGTTGAAGAAGAGAGAATTAAACACTTTATAAGGCTAAGGGGCTACTCCTCCTATTGCCATATGGTTTCTTGAAGCATCTTTATATGCACATTAGACACATTTTATGCTTTGCTTAAGCTTTATAGAAATATTCTTTCAAAAAAGAGAATAAAAAATAAAAATTATGCTAAAGTTACTTATTCCCTCTATATATTAGTATCCCCTAAGAATATAGTTCAAAGAGAAAGAAATTTTAACCAACTAGAAAAATAAAAATGGAAGATTATGAAGGGTTAGGAACATCATTTGTAGTTCATTACTACAATTTGTTTGATAATGAACGACCTTCTCTTAAATCTCTTTATCAACCAACTTCTTTGCTCACTTTTGAAGGACAAAAGTTTCAAGGTGTAGAGGAAATCTCTAACAAGATCAATAGTTTGCCATTCAATCAATGCCGCCATTCGATTAGCACCATTGATACTCAACCTTCTTCGATCAATGGAGGTATAATCGTCTTTGTTAGTGGCAGTTTGCAGTTGGCTGGAGAAGAACATCAGCTACGATTTAGCCAGGTAATAACTCAAGTTTTTTGCTTGTTAATGTTAAATGTTGTCCTAAAATATTAAAAGTTAAAATCATCATAATACTTAACCCTTATATCAAAGCACTAGTGTCCACCATATCAAATCATTAGTTTTTTTTTTTTTAGAGTCACAAGGGCGGGGTGAGAATCGATCCCAAGATTTCCTAAAATTGATTTTGAGAGTTGATAGACTATTTTTGCAGGATTTTTATGTAAAGATTTTATTATACAACAGTTGTACCATATATTCTCTTACAACCCCTGTAATGTATAGGGGTATATGGAAAATAAAGAAAGAGAAGATCCATATTTTACTAATTTCTCGTTGGTTGAAAGTGTAATTGTTACACCATGCTAGCTTAGCCTAATCGGTTGCATGCACTAGTTTAATTGCAGTTAAGTGTTACTAATATTGTGATTTGTATGTTGATTGATGTATTTTGATGCAGATGTTTCATTTGATTCCAACAACGCAAGGTAGCTACTTTGTGCAAAATGATATATTCCGTCTTAATTACTGTTGATTTGTTCATGGCTTTAGCCACGAATAAATCTTGGTTGTAATTGCAAACAATATGTATGTGTGGATCAGAATTTATGTTCTTCATTTGGTATTGGTAATTTAGTTTTTATTTGCTAGAAAGTTATTGTATTTTTATGAACAAACAAGCTGATCAATATGATCAAATCATTGATTAGAAGACCCATTTTTGGTTAGTGGTATTCCCTCTGTTCAAAAAGTTGGCTTGATATAATATAATTCCTCCGTTATATTAATATTGCAACAAGGATGAAATTATGCGTTTCAAATCACATTTTTTATGCTAAATATCTATAATTGTATAAGAGTAAAAATTATAAAAAGTTGATATTGTGAAAGTATTTTATGAGACGAATCCAACAAGATCCCAATATTGGTCAAACAACAGTGATAAATACTGAATAGTGCAAAAAGTCCATTGCAATATTAATAGAACGGAGGAAAAAAAAATGACACCACCTCTTGGGTCAAACTTTTTTAGATCATCAAATACGGAGTATATAAAATCCTTATTTTGCATAGATGGAAGAATAATTAATGATTTAAGACGAGTTTTAAAACCGTGAAAAAGGAAATAGGACAATAAATATTGAGGCATTAAACTCCCTAGTCATTGAGACATCAAACTTTCAAAAACTCAGTGCAAATCACTCTAAATATTCAACTTTTGTCATTGTATACTTGTTATGATAGTTGAATGCTTCATAATGCATGTTTATAAAAATCACAATTAGCTTTTCAATATGAGAAGTTATAGGTAAAATTGTACTTAAATTTGCAAACTTATTGGTCCAACTTAAGGGAGCATCTCTATATTAGACCAATAATAGAAGCTAGTTTTAAACCATACTACTATTAATTAGAATATTGATAGAAAATTAGTAAACTAATTGAAGAAAGGTCAACTAACTCAAAATGAAGGGGTATGCTCCTTCGATTATATCACTTCATAATTTTAATTAAGAAGCCTAATTAAGGAATGTATAATTTTAAACCACCCTTTTTTTTTCCTTGGGATGAATTTTGTATGGACCTAAACACCTATGAACTACAACCATCAATAGTTTTTACCTTCTTCTTCCCCCAAAACCCCAAAAAGAAGCAAACAAAATAACAAACTTTCTTCCATTTTTTAACTTTGGTGATTAATTTTTCTTTATACAACTTTTTTTTTTCTCTTCATATGGTGAAGAGGCTAATTGTACCTAAAATTTTTCAGATAAGATTTTGTCTTCACCATATTCAATCACTAGGAATGAAGAAGAAAATAAATATTGTTTGAATTCTAACAAAAAAGTTGTAACATATTAGTGTTGGCTAGGATAACATATTAGTATTAACTAGGATATATAAGCGAAAATGAATGACCTATTTTCAAACTCGTTTAAGAAGCACTCGGAATTTGATCAACAAGGTTTCAAATACGATGTGGAATCCGCCACAGGAGGGATGAATCTTGACAAGTTCTTCGACGATGTGGAGAGGGTAAAGGAAGACATGAAGGAGGTAGAAAGGCTTTACAAGAGGCTCCAAGACTCGAACGAAGAAAGTAGGGTTGTCCACAATGCCAAGACCATGAAGGAGCTACGTGCTCGAATAGACTCGGATGTGGCTTTAGTACTTAAAAAGGTGAAGATCGTCAAGGGTAAACTTGAAGCCCTAGACAAATCGAATGCACAAGCTCGTAACGTGCCTGGTTGTGGACCGGGGTCCTCGGCTGATAGGACCCGTACATCGGTGGTAAGCGGCCTAGGGAAGAAGCTTAAGGACATGATGGACAACTTCCAAGCCCTAAGAGGAAAAATGCAATCCGAGTACAAAGAAACTATGGAGAGAAGGTACAAGTAGTAAACTAAAAATTAAACTAATATCTTATAAAATGCACGAACTTGTAATTATTAAATATTTCATATATTAATAAAAGCATATGGTCAAATTTAGTATATGAATATTAAAAAAAACTAAATGTTAGCCAATCATCTTATAAAATGCATGAAATTGTTACTATATTAGTAAAAGCATGTGATCAAATTTAGAATATGAATATTAAAAAAATAAAAATAAAAAGTAAAACAACAATATTAAGGAAACAGAGAAAGTAAAACTTTAATGTATTTATATTCTTCTAGGTACTTTACTATAACCGGAGAGAAGGCAGATGAGACGATGATTGAGAACCTAATCGAGAGTGGAGAGAGTGAAAACTTCCTCCAAAAGGCGATACAAGATCAAGGAAGAGGGCAGATACTAGACACAATATCGGAGCTCCAAGACAGGCATGATGCTGTGAAGGAGATTGAGAAGAATTTGATTGAACTTCACCAAGTCTTTCTTGACATGGCTGCTTTAGTTGAGGCTCAGGGACAACAACTTAATAACATCGAAAGCCACGTGGCTCACGCAAGCTCGTTCGTGAGGCGTGGGACTGATGAACTTGTGGAGGCAAGAGGGCAACAAAAGAGCTCAAGGAAGTGGTATTGCATTGCCATTGTGGTTGGGATTGTGCTTATTTTTTGTCCTTGTTTTTCCTTTGTTTATCAATGTTATTTTGCCTCATTTGGTTTAATAAAGGAAGATGGGAAGTAAGGGACAAATTTAAGGAAAGCAAAAAGGCACAAACTATTTAAAAAAAAAAAAGGCACAAACTATTAGATTTTGTACATCAATTTTTAGGGATGAACATTTTTGGATTGTTACCTTGTTAAGTTGATAGTGGAGTTTTAAAGTTTTAAGTTCACTACAAAATTTAGAATGACATTTCATGTATGATATACACCATTGTACTTTATTTTTCTAGGGTAGATCAAAACTATAAGATCTTTATAATTGATCTTTAAATTTATATATTCTTTATTTGTATATCATAACCTCTAGTACATAAACTATAAATCAATTTCATTTTATATGAGTTTTTTTTTTGTCATTGAGGAAAGTGTTGTGACAGATGAAAGAATACATAACTTTTAATTACTACATCCGTTACATATTATTTGCAACAATTAGACATTTTTCCTCTCTACTTTATGTCAAATCGTTGCAAATAATATGTAATGGAGGTAATAATTAAAACCAAAACACATGGTTTTAATTAGCAGCCAGTACTAACAAATGTATCATGCGAGAGAGTATTTTATGTATCTCAATGAACATGCAAATTACAAATAGTAAATAGCTTAGCAAGACATTTTCTAATAGAAGAAAGAGCAACGAACCTTTCCAAACACAATTAACTATATACCCAGGTGGTTTCAAAAACTTACTCGGCCAAGCCGGTTCGATCTAATCCAAAAAAAAACCCGACCGATTTTAACTTGTATGGACACTATAATATAATTCAACATGATTCAACTTTGAATAAAACCAACTTGACCTTCCGAGTACCCAAATTGATACCAACCTGTATGTGTCAGTCTTTTTGGAAGTTAATGTTTGGGTCTAGTTTTTGGGCCAAAAATCTGTACCCAACGCATTGCACTTGAACCCCCTCGTTGCATAACTTAAGCCATGTAAGCAAGCAGCAATGTAATTATAATTTATAAAGAAAACTTTGAAACAAGCACCAAATTTGGACCCAAACAAACCAAAACAATGATATGTGCATTCCCAGTACACGTATAGGAATGCTTGTAAAAATCATGCATAATCGGTGTTTATTATGAATTATCGTTTTATCTTTAATTAAGATTTTTGATTTGATCTTTTTATGGGTTTTAAATACGAAGTATTAACATGTATAACTTATCATATACAAAATCAATAATACAAATTTAAACAATAAAATGCATATAAACATAATGTGACCTGAGAGACTGAGACCACTTAATCGATTTCATCCACTTTATTTAAATTTTAAAACTTGTGTAAATCTGCTAATTCACGAGTCCAGCTTTTCTACTTGTAATACGTGAGACATGGGTGTTGGTCTTGGCTTAAGCCCTTGACCACCCCGACAACTCGACATGACCCAAGGGTACAGTGCTGGACCGAGATTAGCCATGCCTAGCCCATTCAAATCTTAGACATGGTGGTCCCATAAGGCCATAACTATGCCAACCTATGACAACACGGACACTGCCAATTCTACGCCCTTGGCAAATTATATGTGACATAGTGGAGTATCATACAGGATGGACTATTATAAATAACAAACACCATGTATTTAGATTCATGAATGAGGCAATTCCAAATTCACGAAATAAAGCAACCAAATTTTTCAATACTAAACAATAAGTCAATAAGAAATCACAATATATAGTACAGCTCACTTGCTAGCTATTTCCTGATATAGTCAAACTAACTAGGCAACGTGATTAAGTATTTACATACGTTCAATTAACTTTATAGCTAGATTTAATCTATGATTTATTAGGTCACTAGGCTCTTAGTAGTTGGTAGGATAACATCATCCTAAATACTTATTTGATCCACCCAAGTTAGATTATCTTTTGAGGGAGCCAAGAAAGGAATATCAAATTTCGATGATTCTTTTTTTTTTTTTTTTTTTTTTTTTTTTTTTTTTTTTTTTTTGGTAAAATATACTAATCCATATTTTGTACAACTTAGGATAAATATTACCGGTTTCGAAATACTACTTCATATAAAGTATAAAGGATTTTTGTTGTATTTGTCTTTTTATTAGTTGTCACACTTTGCTGTTTACCATTGCACATCTTACTTAGGGCATATTCACATTTATTTAATTTTAATTCAGTTCAGTTCAGTTCCAATCAGTTCAGTTAAGCTCATAATTTTCCTCTTTCATAAAATATTTATTTCAGCTCAATTTAGTTCAGTTCAGCTCCAATTAGTTCAGTTCAGCTTTGTTCAACTCTAATCAGTTCAGTTCAATTCAACTCAGTTCAGTAAATGTGAACAGACCCTTAGTATCATGTAATATGCTAGCTATTGTATTTGTCTAAATATAATTGTTCATAATAAATTTTAAAAATATTGAAATTTGAATATTTTAGATAATTATTAAACATTTTAGTGAGCAAAGTTATGTGTGACAAACATACAACTCAAAGTGAAATAACTAGATAATGAAATAACATTACGAAAGTATATAGAAAAGCAACGAGTGACATTCCCAATAAGAGTAGGTAAACCAAGAAACTAACATAGATTGCTTATAAAAATAATCTATACGGGTAT